TCAGCAAAATTCACGCCAAACATTAGACTCAGTGGTAGCCCACTGTATCTTGCATGCGTGGCCCCAACACTCCTCTATAATTGACAAATTACCTTCTTTTTCCCACATTGCTTTAATATACATAGTGCGGTTAATACGGAAAAATAATACTCTTTGACAACTAGAGGGTTCATCGTTAGCAATCCTAAAAGCACACAAAACAAGCATTTTATCAACACAAGAAAAATCCTGAGAACCTTCCAGTTGCATTTTCAAACTAAATTGAATAAGCTTTTAATTAAGTATGGTACACTTTGTTAAAAAAATGCTGAATCCCAGTTGCCTCACCATTTGCTGTTGCAGAGCAAAATTTGACATAAGGGTCTTCTTTATATTAAGTTCTTTGAATGAATAAATAAATAAATAAATAAATAAATAAATAAACCAATTAACAAATTTGCAAAAGTGATGAGAATTTAATTAATGGTGGCCTTGAGAGGTCAAACTGCAATTTAAGAAAATGCCACATGAGAAGAAAGAAAAGCTCTGCAAAAGCACACGAAACACAACAGAAGGTGAATAAAAAGTATTGGAAATTATAAAAATCTGCACCAAAAACACAATAGACTGAATGTTTTGGGTCCAAAACAGCTGCGAAAGTGACAAGCTAGCAATAAACGGCTAATAGCAAACATGTAGCTACAGTACTGTGTGACTCGTGCAATTAAAACATACATTACCTGCATCTTTTTCTGTCACAACACCAATGGATCATTTCAGTGAATCCTTCTCATGTTGTAGTTTCTGTCACATTAACGTTTCCCCAGAAACACTCCTGTTGTGCTTTATTTCTGTTTTGTTAGCTTTTGCAGGTGTTTTCTTAAGTTGCAGTGCCCTTGACCTCTCAGGGCCACCGTAGATTTTGGTTTTTGGTTTGAATTGTTTTTTCTTTTTTCAATCCATTATTTACAGTGTTTTCTCTGTTTACTCTGTCACCATTTGCTGCCTCCCACCTCCCCAATCCCCTTTTTATTCTTTTATATTGATTTAAGATTTATCTCATAAGATAAACTGGGAGGATTTTTTAATAGAAATTTTCAACATTTCTAACTGTACAGAAATTTATCATGCAGTTATTGGCCACTAACTTAAGTGAATCTTACTAATATGTATTCCTCAACCTTAGTTTCATTATTGCTTTTCCTTAAAAATTCCCTAGAATGGTCCTTTACTGTTTCCCAATATGAATGCATTGCACAGTCCAACCTCTGGCTGCTGTACAGAGATGCTCCTTCCTTCTGCAGTTCATGCGCTGCTGTTCACACTTTGCTGCAGTCCCAACACACATCAATTTACAGCCAATGCATTCCTGATTAGGCATGGACACGGTAATTGTTTTCATTGCCTTGGATTGGAACAACATAGAATCGAATGTGCTCCATCGATCTTTTGTTGGGGGGCCAATTGGGTTTGTTACCAGTGTTGTAGATCTCTCTTGGCCCATGCATTACCCTTTTAGACTCTCTCTCTCTCACCACTTCTTTTTCTCCGATGTTCCACTGTCTGTCTCCACACCCCTTCACTCTTGTGTCTTCCCTGAACATTAATCCCCATCTTTCTCTTCCTTGCTGTCGTTCTTTCATTAGCCGCTTTCCTTGTCTTCTTCTCCTACCTGCACTACTTTCCAATTCTGCTCAACTTATCAGGTTTAAAGCTAAATTAGCATGATTACATATCAGTAACCAATATCACCAAGGTAGTATATCCCTGATAAACTTCTAAAATATGACAGGCTGATTGAATAGAGGCCATGAAAGAGCTTAAGGAATGATGATGCGAGAAACATTATGCCAAAAATGATGCTGTGCATCTTGTGGACATGGCCACCATCACGGCCAATAGAACTTGTGTTAAAATTCGTCTTCTCTGTTCTGGGGTTTTATATGTCAGGACATAACAAATATCTAGTTTTTTACAAGCTCTTAAAATAAAGCGAATAAAACCTGAAATGAACAACATATAACATGTTACACTGTTGGTATTGATTGAACAAAAACTAAGCCAGAATGCAGAAACAAGCATGAAAATCTAATAACAGCCCATAATTATATAGCTTAGATAGAACTTGACTGCATGCTGAGGTGGCAGTTCAGCCATTTGATTCATGTCACAGCAGCTCATGAGTGAATGAACATGGTGTAATACAAGTACTTTAAGAAGTACATTTTTCCAAACACTTACATTTACTTAGATTTACTTGAGTAGGGTTAGGGGTTGCCACTTTAGCATGCAGTCAAGTTCTATACTCTTGCTAAGGACCTACTAATTTTATTCAGGTGTTGCAACAGGGACACATGGAAAGGTTTCAGGATACCGGGCCTCGAGGACTGGAGTTTGAGACCCCTGGCTTAGACTTTCCAACGCCTTGATTCTTTTTTTTCTTTTGTTGTAGAATTGCTGCTGTGGGAGATAATCGTAACTGGCCTGGTTCTTACACAGTGCTTTTCTATTCTACTTGACTACTCAAAGTGCTTTATACAGCATCCCTCATTCACCCATTGACGCCTATTGATACCAGCCTTTCTTCTACGTCCAATTGCTGTCTATCTAACATTCGTGCGCATCAGAGAGCAACTTGGGGTTCAGTATGTTGCCCAAGGGCACTTTGGCATACACACTGGAGCAGCCAGGGGATTGGACCAAGAGCCTTTCAGATAGTGTATAACCTGTATTTCCTGAGCCTTGGTGCCAAGAATCTTTCTTTGTATTCCAGAATGTTGATTCTTTAGTGGGAGAAACATTTTTGTCTCTCATTCAAGTCACTCCCTCAGTCTCCATATTGGAATTTCTTTACTTGGATGACCAACATACCATTGTACTGTATCACCCCAATCATGCCTGGGATCTTTGTCCTGTTTACAATGACCCAACTGTTAGAGTGAATTGTTAAATGTTGTCATTTTTATGCTTGCCAACTCTGATGAAAGAAATTCCACTGTCCTTCCCCCCCAAATTCTCGAGGTTCTGGATGGGGGGCTGTAATGTTTTATTGCAGATACATCCTATCTGGAAGATCTGCTTCTTTTGATGTAAGCTTCCTGCGTTTACGACCCTTTGGTCAGCAGGAGGTCTGACACACACACACACACACACACACACACACACACACACTTAAATACAGAAGTTCACACATATACATACAATGCCTTGTCTTAGAACCATGTGGGCGTGGCTTTGTTCTGAAGTGGTTTGTGTGAACTGTGTCTCAATAAAAAGGGCAGCAAGGGAGGTCGTCGTCGAGGTCATTTTCGTGGTGGACACAGGCCTCCCTTGTGCAAGTGATCGATCGACTGTCTTGTTTTCTTCATGATGAATAAGTCTCTAGAATTAGCGGGGCTTGTGGAAACACAGACCCAACACCAACTTTGGCCAGGCTTTAGAAGTCGGAAAGATGGCCTCGCATGACACTAGAATACTTACTTACGCTGCCTGTCATTCTACTTTTAAGTACCCGTACAAGTCAGCCAGCAGACTGAGAGCAAAGTGCTCTATTGGGGTGATACAGTACAATAGTATGTAAGATAAGATGGGGGCTAATTATTTAAGACCTTATGAGGAGAATGATTTTAAATTTGATTCTGGATTTCACAGGGAGCCAATGAAGAGAAGCCAATATCGGGGAAATATGTAATTTCTTTCTAGTATCTGTCAGTACACTCTAGAGCATTTAGGATGAATTGAAGGCTTTTAAAGGAAATTTTTAGGACATTATTTGAAAGGTAACATCCTCTAGTTTCTGAATATTTAACATCTGTCTAAACCAAAACCCAACAGCTAACAAAAACTGACTCTGCTGCCACAGATACCAAGTAATTCTGTAGGAAAATGCGTTCTGACAGTTGTTTCTGTTACGGCCGAGAGGGCCAGGCTGTGGGTGTGGACTCAAATGCAGACACAGAGGGGAGGCAAAACGGGCGTGAACACAGTGCTTTATTTACAGTACCTAGTTAAATTACAAAGCAGGAAACTATGAATGCTATGAACTGTGGAAGCTATGAACTGAGAACTGTGAGGCCAAACTATGAACATGAAACTCTGAGTGCTATGACTAGGTGCAAGATTTCATAGACGGATCCTGGGAATGGAAAAAGGGGCAGCGGCTTGGGTGGAGGTACACAGTCACTATAATGAGAAGAGACAGGCAGTCAGTAGCGGTCTAGTGAATCGTAGCCAAAGGATTAGACTGTGGTGTTTTGGGCTTACGCGTTGCAGGTGAAAGTGTCATGTGAGGAGGGGGTGTCCAAGGGGGTCCGGGTGAGGAGTGTCCAGAGAGGGTCCAGAATATACTTGGAGCAAGGGACCTGGCAGGGAGGCAGGCAGGTGGAGTCTTATGATGATAAGGAAGCAACCAGATGACAGAACCAGTGTCCAGGCGGAGATGAGTGTAGTTCAGCTTGTGAAGCGTGACGGCCAGGTGGGTCCTATGACAAAGAAAACACGGTGAGGAGAAATGCAATTGTTAAGAGACTCTCACAAGGGCTTGGCGGCCTAAGGTGCGTTAGCAATAGATCTGGCAGAGGTCTGTTGTGAGCGCTGGTCTTATATGCTGGTGACTTGATTGGAATCAGGTGTGAAAGCTGATTGGAGTCTCTGCCTGAAGGTGGAGCCCAGCAGAGTGGAAAAACCCCGCACTCACCTGGACCAGGACAGTTTCTCTCCAATTAAGTTCAGTGATTGTAAGATACATTCCTAAAACATATCTCAATATAATACATATTGAGCTGCACCACAAACCTTATTCTCTTAAGTTGGGATTAATTCCTTTCTTTTGCTGATTCACTGCTTCACTTTGTGAAACACAACATTTAGCAACTGATCCTGCCAGCAGGAATGTACATTACATCAGCCCGTGCATATATGCAGGCTAGTAAGTCATTAAAGCATCAAACACTTCATGTTGTCACGGTCTCGCTGGCAGACCGTGGGGATGTGGGGAAAGGAGGACCCAAAATGCAGGACTCTACAGTGCAACAGTGTTTATTTACAGTGGTGACAATCCGAACAACAATAAATCCCCCCGTGCGATCCCAACTCCCGTTCCGTGTCTTCTCCTTTATCCCGTGCTCCGTGCTCTGTCTCCGTTCCCTGTGTACTCTCCGTGTGCTGCCTCCTGGTCGCCACAATTCCTCCTGAGGAAACACGCATACCAAAGGCAGCCGTGAGTACAAAACCTAACAGTAGACTTGCACTAACCTTGCACAATACACTTAAGACTGACGGGAAGTCACTCAACAATCCAGCGTCGAGGAGCTCTCAGCCACACTGTTTTGAAGCTCCTCTGACGAGGCTTGATCGGCGCCAGGTGTGTGTGGATTCCTGGGTGGGACCGGTCAGCTGGCAGGGCCACACCCACCAGGCCTAAAAGTGCCTGCCACGACCGCACCCTCACACACACAAGCACACACCCCTAAACACCTGACAGTACACCAACACGGAAAAAACAGGACAGCAGACACAACCATAATAACAACAACCACAATAATGATAATAATAATAATAATAATAATAACTACAATAGTAGTCCACACTGCTCACGGACCCCGAATCCCTGGAACTGGGTCCGTGACAGTACCCCCCTCTAAGGGTCGGCACCCGACGACCCAAAAACAAAAACAAAACAAAAACCACAGTACAACCAACCCGGGCGGGCGGCGGGGGGTCCCGGACGGAGGGCCCCAAAACCCCAGTTCAAATGTCCAACCACTGCCATGGTGGGAACAACAGTTCTTGCGGCCGACCCAGTGGACCGCAAGCAGGCAAAACTCGCTACGGGTCAGGCAGTGGTGGGAAAACAGTTCGGGCGGCCTACCTCCAACCCCATGATGGAAGCGGAACGCTTCAGGCGGCCTGCCACGGATCCGGTGGCGGCGGCGCTGCTCCTCCGGCGGCCTGCCACGGGTCCGGTGGCGGCGGAACGGTTCTGGTGGCCTGCCACGGGTCCGGTGGCGGCGGCGCTGCTCCTCCGGCGGCCTGCCACGGGTCCGGTGGCGGCGGAACGGTTCTGGTGGCCTGCCACGGGTCCGATGGCAACGTCGCTGCTCCGGTGAGCAACAGCGAGGCGTGGCACATGGTCTATGACGCGCCGGTCGCTGACGTGGACGCACTGGACGTGGATGGCGTGGAGGCCGCGCTAGACGTGGAGGTCCCTCCGGTTCGCTGACCTCCGGCTGAGCGGGTCCCTCCTCGGCTGGCAGCGAGAGCCCCTCCGCGGCTGGCAGCGAGAGCCCCTCCGCGGCTGGCGGCTCGCTGAGCTCCTCTGCTGGTGGCTCGCTGAGCTCCTCTGCTGGTGGCTCGCTGAGCTCCTCCTGCTCGGGCATGCTGAGCTCCTCCTGCTCGGGCTTGCTGAGCTCCTCCGGCTCGCTGAGCTCCTCCGGCTCGCTGAGCTCCTCCGGCTCGCTGAGCTGCTCCTGCTCGCTGAGCTGCTCCTGCTCGCTGAGCTGCTCCGGCTCGGGCATGCTGAGCTCCTCCGGCTCGGGCATGCTGAGCTCCTCCGGCTCGCTGAGCTCCACAGCTGGCGACGCGGGCTCCTCCCGCTCGCTGAGCTCCCGCTCGGGCATGCTGAGCTCCTCCGGCTCGCTGAGCTGCTCCTGCTCGCTGAGCTGCTCCTGCTCGCTGAGCTGCTCCTGCTCGCTGAGCTCCACAGCTGGCGACGCGGGCTCCTCCCGCTCGCTGAGCTCCCGCTCGGGCATGCTGAGCTCCTCCGGCTCGCTGAGCTCCACAGCTGGCGACGCGGGCTCCTCCCGCTCGCTGAGCCGCTCCTCCGGCTGCGACGCGGGTATAGATGGTCGTTGATCCGGAGGTGAAGATGGCGATGCGGAAGCTGCAGGTGGCGAAGATGACGGTCGAGCGGGTGATGTGGATGGTGAAGTCGAGAGTTCTGCGGTCGCTGCAGTCTGATGGGACGCTGGTGGAGAAGTAGCTGCAAAGGGCGGAGGTGATAATGGTGCGGCAGCTACTCGTGGTAGACTGGACAGCGATGTAGAAACAACAGGCGGGTGACATAATGGCAGGGTAGTTCCAGCAGGCATATCAGCCTCCAACTGAGGATGAAGACGAGAGGCTGACTGGACTGGCTGTGCTACGGCTACAGGCTGGGCAGCTGGCTGTGCTACGGCTACAGGCTGGGCAGCTGGCTGTGGTACGGCTACAGGCTGGGCAGCTGGCTGTGCTACGAGGTTAGCTTTCACACAGTCCCGTGAATAAACAGATGAGGTGAATGAAGATGAATTGTCCATATGACTCACCACAGCCGGCTGTTGGAAAGTTTTAGAGTCTGACTGCGGTGAGGCACGCCGGCGGCGCAAGCGTCGCTTCTTTAACGATGCCGGGGCCAGCGTATCAGGCTGAGGTTCCACCAGCCGGCCGGACAAGAGAGCAGCTGTGTGATTTTGAGCTGCCGGTCCTTGGTCTGCTGACTCAGCAGGTGCCGCAGAGGTGAGTGGAGATGTGGTGAGGTGCAGAGGGCGTGTGAAACGTTTCCCCCGCAATGGAGGGTCCAACAAACGAGCTGCAAGCGACGGCGGGGAGGCTATCAGCCTATGAAAAAAGAAATAGGCAGCAAGGGCTCCCAGGGAGGTTGCCATATCCTCCTCGCCCGGACAGCCCAAACCAAACAGCTCAAAACAGGAACTTTCCCTCAGCGTGGTTATAATCGAAATTAGTCTCTTAATGTCCAAAAAGCTCACAGATGAGGTGATTGATGATAAGAAGGAATCAAAAAATACGACCTGTAAGTGTCTCTGATGTGGATCTGCCGCCTGGATAATGCTCCGACAGTATTTCCAGAGCTGGGCGAGCAATTCCTCCTGTGAGACGGTCCTTGAGTCCGCTGGGCCCATAATGGCTGGATCGTTCTGTCACGGTCTCGCTGGCAGACCGTGGGGATGTGGGGAAAGGAGGACCCAAAATGCAGGACTCTACAGTGCAACAGTGTTTATTTACAGTGGTGACAATCCGAACAACAATAAATCCCCCCGTGCGATCCCAACTCCCGTTCCGTGTCTTCTCCTTTATCCCGTGCTCCGTGCTCTGTCTCCTTTCCCTGTGTACTCTCCGTGTGCTGCCTCCTGGTCGCCACAATTCCTCCTGAGGAAACACGCATACCAAAGGCAGCCGTGAGTACAAAACCTAACAGTAGACTTGCACTAACCTTGCACAATACACTTAAGACTGACGGGAAGTCACTCAACGATCCAGCGTCGAGGAGCTCTCAGCCACACTGTTTTGAAGCTCCTCTGACGAGGCTTGATCGGCGCCAGGTGTGTGTGGATTCCTGGGTGGGACCGGTCAGCTGGCAGGGCCACACCCACCAGGCCTAAAAGTGCCTGCCACGACCGCACCCTCACATACACAAGCACACACCCCTAAACACCTGACAGTACACCAACACGGAAAAACAGGACAGCAGACACAACCATAATAACAACAACCACAATAATGATAATAATAATAATAATAATAACTACAATAGTAGTCCACACTGCTCACGGACCCCGAATCCCTGGAACTGGGTCCGTGACACATGTAGTGTCGTAGCAGTCAAAATTGCCTCAGGATCCATAGATGAAATCATACTCTCCACTGAAATCAAATGTAATAGAATTGTTGAGGTCATGTTAGTAGGGTGAGTCAAAATGCCAACTTCTTGGTTCTGCTGTGGAAGTCACAGAATGTACTCGATGGCCCATATAATGAGGATATGATTAACTAAAAGTCATCCTGACAAACTTGCAGTAGAAAAGGTTTGCAGACTATAGCTGCATTAAAAGGAGATTACTCATCTTAGGGCCAGTTGCTCTCATTGATGATCCAATCTAGTATTTTTAATAAGGATCAATATTGGATTGTTATACAGAATCGTGAAAGGTCTAGTCTCTATGGATGTAATTACCATCTATAGTCTAGCAATGTTATAATTTTGATCAAATACCCTGCTTGAACAAATCAAATATTATATTTTATATCAATATTATATATATATATTTCTCTTTTCTCTTTGTTCTCCTCAACAGGCAGAGTACAGAGGCAGTCCTAAGAACGGCACAGAGTCAGCCGTGGACCTGCTGGGTCTGGGTAAGCCATAAACAGCCTTCTTACAGCTCACAGGATAATAAACCTTAGGCTATATGCTGACTTGTCAAACTGTATTTAAATGTCTGCCTAATGCTTCTGACATGTTTGTTAAACTACTTAAGTTGGAAGATGTTATAATATTTTTTGATTGATATAGCAATGATTGGAGGTTAAGTAATGTCTGACGTCATGCCGTCAGGCTTTATTTAGATCATGCAGAGAGGACTTTCATTACATTTTGATGACTTGGTATACCATCCGGCTGTTAATGCATCAGTGACTTCAGCCATGTAAGCCTACAGGTAAAACCATCGAACAGTCTACACACTGATGTACCCGATGCAGATATCAAGCATGTAAGACAAAGTAAAATGAAGCAGGTTTTACTGGATATTTTGTGATGTGAGTGGTAACCACAGGAAATGGATATCCTCGACTGAGTCATCAGCTGAATACAGGGGTTAAAATTCTCGAGCGTTCTGGTGTTTTAGATCATTATAGGACAATATATGACTATGTGTAATTATGCCTGTGGTAAATATTCTTGCTTGTCTTTTTTAACTCTCCCATAGAAAACATCTGCTCGTACATGTGTGAATGTAGCCTGGAACCACATTTCATTTGGAAAAAAAAAGATTTTTGAAAAAAGTGTATGTTGTGGTGTAAAAAAGTTTGCAGTAATTTGAAAAATGCACTGAAGCAGGGATCTTGTCTTTGTTTTCACATCATCATCGTGATCTAATGGGCTAGTTAGTCGATTGTTTCACATCAGTAGACTCATTACATTGCATATTGCTGTTAAGAAACCACACGCGTCAAAGACAAGCATCAAAGAGTAAAGCTTCTTTGAAGCTTTGAAAGTTGTGTTTGACTTGAAATCCGGCAGCCTAATTGTATCAGACTGAGGAACCAGCGAGTGATGCATTTTCTGTGGACGGTCCTTTCATGTAATGTAAATGCGAGGATTTACATTTGGCAACGATCGCATTGTGTTTCTGAAATGGGTCATGATTTCTGGGATGGCCATGATTCATTGTGCTTGTGTTACCAGTTTAGCATCTTATACAGAAAAAATAGTAATAATAATAATGGATTGCATTTATATAGTGCTTTTCGGGACCCCTCAAAGCGCTTTACAATACCACTATTCATTCACTCTCACATTCATACACTGGTGAAGGCAAGCTACAGTTGTAGCCACAGCTGCCCTGGGGCAGACTGACAATACATCGAAGAAGTGGGGACATCTTGCCCTTAGTGGTGCAGCATCCCTTCCCCTTTTACATGCAGATTCATAACCATGGAA